TCTAATTTCAAATAAAGCTTTGTTTGATTAAATGCTTTTTTATTCTTGCATCACAGCTTTTGTCTACTTACTGAATAATTTGCTGAAAAAAAATACTGATCTATACATTTCAAATTTAAATTTTCACCGTGCAATGCCGGGTAACTCAGCTAGTTATGACAGTGGTCTTGATTGTTTGGTTACTTAAATGTATGTATTATTATTATTAGCTACAGCAAATAACTGTTTTCTTGTTAGTTTTTTTATTACTGTGATGATGGGATTAGTGTATCAAATGTTTTCCAAAAGGCTACACAACTTATGAAAGTTTTAGAAAACTTTCCATGGTAACAACTATGGTGGCATTCAAGAGAATTTTAATAAGTGTTCACAGGTCATTGTAATTTATATAACATATCAAGCTAATATTTGTAAAGATTAAAAATGGATTAAGTTGAACTTGGTGTTCTGCCTTAAATAATTTAAATTCTGAGAATTATCAGAATTTGATTTTTTTTTTTTGTAATACTATAGCCATTAATACTTGAATGTTTTTCAAGATGACATAATGAGCTATTTTTTGCCATACCCTATATCTTGGTATTTTAAAGAATTTTTTTGTTTGTTGGTGATATTTTATTCTCTATAAAGTAAATTTGATTATAATTTTTTTTTTTTAAATATTTAGTGTTTTAAAATGTTAATATAATTTTCATTTCCCCTCCAGCAAAAACTGGATACACGAGAATACAAAACACCTGATGAGTTTGCAGGGGATGTTAGGTTAATATTTACTAACTGTTATAAATATAACCCTGCTGATCATGATGTAGTTGCAATGGCAAAAAAATTACAGGTGAGTTTAAAATTTTCAATTGTTAACTATATATTAGCTATATAGGCTTGTACTACTAGTTGTTAGAGGTAATTCTGGTTGAGACTGCTGTAAAAGATGTTTATTAGTGTTGGCTGCATCTGTGCTGACTTTCAATTCTGTATCTTGTATTTTGTTTATTCAATTATTTGTAATAACTTAGGATATTTTTTAATGTATACAATCATTAATTTTTTTTAAACAAAGAACTAAGAGTTTATTAGTTAACACAAATTCAACAGCCATGAAGTTAATCTTTAAGTATTATAGTATCAGTTTGTACTTAGCATGTTTTTCTAATCACTTACGAGTTGTGCGGAAGGGTTATCTTATGATTGTCAGGCTAAACAAGTAAAACATGACATTAAACAGAGTTGTAAAGCTACTAAAACTTGTCGTAAAACTGTAGAAGA